TTGTAGATGGAATCCTATCAGCCAACCTACTTCCGATATCAGTAAAGTATTTATTAAATTCTTTCGCTTTTTCATTTGGTTCATATACAGATACATTGTTTATCTTAATCATTTTCGGAAAGAAATTTGAACAGGCTTTCTGTTTTCCCGTTATTTCTTTCAATATTTTCCATATTTGTTTTGAGTCATTTTTATATTTAGTGATTAGATTAGAGTAATAATTTTTTTTTAGGTTTTTGCGAATTTTTTCAAATAGAGTTTTGTAGTTTTTATATATGCGTAAATTAGCATAAGATTTTGTCTTTAAATATTTTATATACAATTTTTGTTTAATTTTTAAAAATTTTTTTAGACCCTTGGTAATCCAAGGACTACTTAAGGTTTTTGGTTTTAAGGTTATTTCGGAAACGGGTAAATTCGCATCGTACACCGAGAAGAATGTATTAAAGAACTTATTATAGATTACATTTATATCTTCATTAAAATTTATATGCTTCCAGTTTAAGAATGATAATTGATATTTAAATGCTTCTAAATTTTTTTTGTTAAAAATACGTTTTCTTATAGTTTGACTTTTATTAATGTTAGGAGTTGAAATTGTGTTAATTGTTAAAAAAATTGGGAAATCGTCTGATATATCTGATTTTATAATGCCTATTTGAATGTCATTGATATATATATTTGTTGTTAAAATATTGTCTATAAGGGTCGTTGAGTTTTCTTTTATTCGAGTAGGCCGGTTGATAAGCGGTATTGCTCCTGATACAAATATATCATCATAAAATTTTTATTTTTTTTGTTTTCGCTATATCGTAAGCAATCCATATTTAAATTGCCAATTACAAAGTTTATTTTCTTTTCTTTGTTACCTTTATGAAAAACTTGTGCTTTAAGTATAAGCTTAAATTTTCTGACGCATCACCAGGTGGTCTATAACAACAACTTAGTAGAATGCTTTTGCTTTTTAACTTTTCGCTTTTATTGTTTAAAATTTCAATTGTAACGATTTCTTTATGGCCATCAGAAACGCACGAATCATTCCTAACGTTATGCGCAATGTTTTGTTTTACGTAAATCAGAATTCCTCCACCGCGTTTATTTAAAGTTTCCGTTACGCAAATAATATCAAAATAGTTTTTAGTTTCTTCTATAAAATGTCGAAGATTTTCGAAATTTTTGTTCATACTTCTTATATTTATGTGGACAATTCTAATTTTTTTGTTTTAATCGCCATTTCTAGAAAGAAATTCTTTTAACTCACTAACATAATGATAAAAACAATAAACTTTTAAGTCATTAAAATAATTAATATCTGGATCTGTGTTTTCATCAGATTCAATGTATTTGTTTCTAAAATTGAAAATAAGTGATTCATAGTCATCCATTTCATATTTTTTGTTGTTATCATTTTTTGTGTGCTGAATAAGATTTAAAAGAATTTCATATACTTCTGAGGCCCGCGTTACAAGTGTGGTATATATAACTTTAGCAAACTTACCCTCAGCTCGAAGTTCTTTTGCTTTTGTAAATAGAAATCGTTTTTTTTCGATTGTGCGATTGCTATAGTCTTCGTTGAGATATTTTTTTTCGTTCCATAGCTTTCTTTTTTTATACTCATTTAATACGATTTCTCTGTCTTTATAGTTAAGAAACTTTACCACGATAGTTCTTCTTCTTTTTCCAGATACGTGCTTCTTCCCAGTCCTGTGTGCTCTTTCGATTGCAATGTTGTTTTTAATTCTGAGTTTCTCCTTTAAGAACTCTTAAACCTTCGATTCGCTATCTTCCCAAGTTTCTTCTTCTCTTTCGTCAAAGCCATCAAAACGAAGATTGTTTCGTCTACTTCTATCTTCTAATTCGGCTAATTTATCTTGAATAGTTTCGGTGCATTTTAGTTTCTCGTTGTCTTTGTTGTAATTATTGAGTTTACCTTTTAGGTCATTTGATTCCTTAACAATTTGTTCATAATATTCATTCTGGAAATTCATTGCTTTAGTAACTTCAGCTACTTCTCTCTTCAGTAAAGCATTTTCGTTTTTTAATTTTTCAATTTCGTTGTAAAAGTTTTCTTCTAATTTATCAAATCTCTCTCCAAGGGTTTTTAGTAGAGTGCTTTCATGACATTCCAAAAATTCTTTTACAGTTGTTAAAGATTTTGCCATTTTCAAATTATTTCAAAATATAAAAACTTATTATACTAAAAAGATAAATAGTTTTTCTTTGAATTTTTTTTTTTTTTACGCTGCAAAAAACACGTCTGTTCATGAAGAGAACCTTGCATTGAAAATACTCAAGTTGGTAGTTCCTTGCATTGAAAATACTCAAGTTGGTAGTGCCTCGCCACTGCTACCCAAATACAGGTAAGTATGCATGCATACGCAACCCTTAAAATTATTAAAACTAATGTGAATAATAAATTGTCGACTTTAAACTGTTTTAGGTTTGCATTAAATTACAATCGGCAAACATAAAAACATTTTTACAAAAGTTTCACTACAAAAGATAAAAACGAGGTCAGCAAAAAATCGCCAACCTCAGGCATTTATATCTTTTTGCTTGGTTAGGGTTAGAGTAAGGTACTATAATGTATTGAAATCAAATAACAATTAAATAAGAAATGTGTTTTTAGATACTAAAGTTAAACACTTAATATATATATATATATATATATATATATATATATATATATATATATATATATATATATATATATATATATATATATATATATATATATATATATATATATATATATATATATATATATATATATATATATATATATATATATATATATATATATATAATATATATATTTATAAATGTTATTGTTAATTTTTGAGTTAGTAAAATTTATTTTCAGATTTAAAAAATCCTTATCTGTACGTAACAGACAATTTTATAAAGTTTTTCATTTTTTGACTTTGTGATTGAACTTATTGAAATACACTTGGACATGGGAGGAGTATTATTGGACATGGTCATGGACATGGGAGGAGTATTGCTGCTACAAGCATGAACAATAATAAAACATTCCAAAGAACAAATAGTTATTTCAACGATTATATTTGCTGTTTAAATAAATAAATTTTTTTTTTGAATATTCTTATTATATATTATCCTTATTTTAAAACAATGTTTTATTTTTTCCATAGAAAAAGTACTTTTGTAATATCGTTTTATAGTTTATGGGAATTATTTTTTAAACGAAAAAAATAGAATCATATTTTAAATAAAAATAACATTGAAACAAGTAAAAAATGATTTTTTTTTAAAGGAATATAAATTCTTGAAACAAGAAAAAAATTCTTGTTTTAAGAATGAAAATTCTTGAAATAAGAAAAAAAAGTCTTGTTTTAAGAATAAAAGTTCTTGAAACAAGAAAAAGTATTCCTACGTGGCGGACAAGTCACTTTTTTCTTATTTTAAGACTTTTTTTGCTTAAAATAAGAATATTGGATTTTGCTGTGTAATGTTAAAGTTATAACGTAATTTTAAATTATAATAATTTTAAAACTTAAATAAATTGAAATTAAGATAACTAAATTAAAGAAACTATTAGATAAATCTAAAAGTTTAAATGCGTTTACTTGGACTAAATCTAAACGCTTTATATACGTTAATTTGACAAGATTTAAACGTAAAGTAGACAAAATCTTAACGCTTTATATACGTATAATAATCCTACAACAGACGTCTAAAATATGTTTGAATATGCATACGTTTTATCGACCTTTGTTCTAAACCTTTATCTGGGTTATATTCAATACGGATAATCGACCGAATCTGAATATTTTGTCCAAAAGATTTTTTGACGTTTAATAGACGTTTGTGTGTTTACTGGGTAATATGTGTTTGACGTTAATTAGACGTTAGTGAAATAAACAGAGGTTTTAAAAAAAACTTTAATTACATAGTATGATAACAAAATTATTTTGTTATAAATATTTAAAACCAGAATTAAGTTATACATATATTGCATTAAAATTCCAAAAATCAAGTTTTTTACAATTTAATGATGTAGTATTACCTTAAATAAAAATAGTTTTTAATGAACAAATGCCTACAGAGGCGATTCTGCAATCCTTAAAAGGTATCTACTGGATACTGGAACCCCTAAAAAGTACATACTGGTTCCTTGAAAATTAAAAAAAAAGTCCTCAAAACGAAAACTTACCTGTCTTAATTGTGTCAAATGCCCGACTAGCCAACTAAGTTTGTAAAAAAACCCGACTATAACTTGAACATCACCATCTTTGAGGGAGGGGGGGGTAGAAAATCCCCTTTCCACCCATCTTTTCATCCTCCTTCTCCACATACACACATACACACACACACACACACACACACACACACAAACACACACAGACAAACACACACACACACGTAAAATTGTCTCTGAATGCTTAGCATATATATTTTCACTACGTACCATTAAGTTTGAACTTTTCAAAATTTCTGTAAATATTAAGTCTTCTAGGTAAACAAACGTTTTAAATTACATTTCATTTTAAAGTTACAATTATTTCAGTTGTGTTTTAAACAAGGGGCGTGTAATACTTGTTTAAAAATTATATAAACTGACGAGCTTAGACTATTACCTCATAATTTAGCACTACAAAAGTAAAAGTAGGAATACCTTAAATATTTCTCATAAAGGTTTTTTATAATAATTTTATTAATGATAACTTTGTTTTTTAATGGCAATGTTAATAAAGACAATATTAATAACAATAGTAACAATAACAACAATAACAACGATAATAATAATAACAGTTATAATTAAAACATTAATAATAAAAAAAACATAATGGCAAGAAAAAAATAGTAATAATAATAGCAATAATAACATAAGCAATAATAACAACACCAACAACATTTTTCGTAAGATGAAGAAAAATAATTGCTACATAAATTAAGAAAACTAAATACTGTTTTTAAATACTAACATACATTCTTTTTCAGATTTTTATTGTTTATGTTTTACTTTTATTAATTACCTTTTTGCATTGTGTTGTGAGTTTGCAATTGAGTTTATCTGGCTATTTATTTTTTAACAAGTTTTACCTTATATACGAACAAATAATCTGTTTTTATCAAAAATATTTTCTTAAGATTTCTTTTTAAAAAAAATAAACATCACGTGATATCTCTGAACAAAATATAAAATAAACGAATATCGAAAAACAATGAGTTTAATCTTTCTGTGTTCTCGGAAATTTTGTGTTCTCGGATATTGTCGTGATTTCTCGGAATTCTTGCACTATAAATTTTTAAATAAAAGTTATGTATTAGTAATAAATTTTTATTTCCTGAATTATTGTTAATAATTAATACGTACAAACCTCAATATTTTAGATCATAATTTAAATTTTAATGTCAATTTGACATCGCTCATATTGAAATAACAATAAAAATTAGACAAAACCGGGCCTAAATAGCTTAATTTGACATTTAAAAATTTGAATGATTTTCTAGTTCCCTCGCAACGCCCTCAGCAACCAGAATGGTCCCTGATATTTGCTGATGGAAAATTAAAATCGGAAAAATATATTTTTCTCTAGATATAAACACATTTCAATACTATTACGTCATGCTATTGCAGCTACCTTATTAGAAAATATAGTTATTGTTCAAATTAGTTTTTACCCTTTTATTGTGTTTTTACTTTTGATTTATTAACTCATTATTTAATTCAGAACATAAACTTCACTACCATTGATTAATTTTCAAACTTTGAAAAAATTTCTTTTTCTAATCGAATTTTTCTCAGAACAAAAAAACTGGTGGTACTCTTTTTATTTATAAACAAAATTATTTTTAAAATTTTTACTTGTGGTTATTACTTTTTTGTTTTGTGATTTTTTTCTTATAAATCTAAAAGATATTATTAAGAACCAATTTTTTTAAACATATTCATTTCGCCTTCTAAATAAGTAATGCCTGGAGCAAGAAGAAGACATAATTTTGTCTTATCACCGAGCTCCATTTTGATAAAATCGGGATAATTATTTGATAAAATAATTTGATAAAACCGTGATAAAATATTATATTGTATTTGCGTAATAAATGCTAAAATGCTTACATAATAAGCAGTTGCAAAAAGAAAAAGAATGCAGCTGTGCAAAATAAAAAACGATTATATACTTGTAATAAAATAAAGTAAGATAAAAAAAAGAGATATATTTATTTCAAAAGAGTAATTTCATTAATAAACTTTATAAAGTAATAACATTTTTTTTTTAAGATTTTTTTTTTTTTAAGTTATCTTGATCTTTTATTAGAGCTTTACTTTATTTTAAAAAAAAAAAAACATTTAAAATCTAGCATATTGAGATCCATAAATAAGAACAACCGTTTAGATTCTTTTTTAAATCGATCAAGAGTGATTTTCTTTTTATTTGTAATATCTGAAAACAAATTCCATAAATATGTCCCACAATACTTTATTTAGGATGAACTCAATTTTAGACTATAAATTTGGACAGCAAAGTTGTTTAATGAGAATCTTGTGCTATATTTATGGCAGATTTCACTAAAGTAGGATTGGCGACATTCATAGCCTAGTTCTATAAATAAAAACTAAAATTTCATGTCAATTTATTTTATAAATATTTAAAGCTCCAAGTAAACACAACAAAGGCTCTCAGGGTTCTACTCTATTTGCTCATAATTTAATTCAACATGCATGTTTTTGTTTACTGTAAAGCTTTTTGTATAACTAGTGCTTGCCCAGGCAATATAACAGTATGATAGATAACTTTGGATAAAAGTAAAGTATAAACCTTTTAGTGATTTAAAATTAAGAAATGGTTTAGCTATATAAATCATTTCTATATTTCTTGAATTTTTTTTTTCAAGGCTGTTTATATTAAAATTCCATCTTAAATTTTTGTCCAATTTAACATCTAAAAAAAATTTTTTTTTTTTTTTTTTTTTTTTTAAGTTTATTAAGGTGCCCTAAGAAGTCCTTACGGTCTTATCACAGAGCACCGCGGAAGAGCATTTAATAAGAAGTTCACGCCTCCTTCCCAACCAATGTCGCAAAACTTGCCCAGAGGTGCGGTTTGAACCACGGATCTTACGTTTCTGTGGCAAGTGCGCCACCACTGCGCCACGGCTGCTATAAAAGTATACCGATGATTCTCTTTTAAATATAGCTTTATTTATAATAAAGTTTGGTAATTTTAACAGGACGTTATCAGTTTTATTCAACTTTTGGAGCAAAATGAATTAAGTTTTATCAGCATTCAGAGAAAGTTTGTTACTTACAAATCACTTATTAACTTTTTCTAATTGTTCATTGACATGTTTAAAAAGTATAATAATATCTTTGTGTGAATAAAAGAGATTAGAGTCATCTGCAAATAGAACAAAATTTATAAGATTTGATGATAAATAAAGAGCAATTATTTATAGTAGAAACAAAAATTGCCCTAGAATAGAACCTTATGGAACCCCACAAGTTATTGAGTGTTTAACTGTTTCTTTTGAATCGTAACATATGAATTGTTTTGTGTTTGTTATATAGTTTTTCAAACTAAAGTAATTTTTTATCTCTAAGGCCAGAGTGTTCAAGTTTGCTTATCAGTATATCATGATTTACTGTATCAATGACTTTAGGCAAATTAATAAAATCTTCTAATGTAAAATAATCATTGTATACGGCGTCCGATATTTCGCTTACAAGGTCGATTACTTCGTGTTCGGTTGAATATTTTTTTTTGAACCCGAACTGTTTTTTATACAACATGTTGTTTTTTGTCAGATAATTTTTAAGTCTAATGTAGATTATACGCTCAAGTATCTTTGAGAAACAAGGCAAGATTGAAATCGGTCGAAATCGAAATGTTGGAGTCATCTCCATTCTTAAATATTGGAGTGATTCGGGCATTTTTTAATTTATCCGTAACAACACTTGATTTTAAAGAAAGTTTAAAAATATGTAACAAAGATGTTTCAATGACATCAAGTACAGATATTACAACGTTGGCGCTAACTTGATTAAAACCTGCGCTTTTATTTTTTTATATGCTATTAAAAGCATCTCGCAATTAGCGAACTTTAAAATTAGATTTGTCCATTTGCGTATTATATCTTTTTAAATAAAATTCAAAGCTTGTTGAGCTCAGCAGAATTGTTTTAGCTAAGTTGGGCCCAATATTGGCAAAGAAGCTGACAAGATACTCAGCAATAAAAGATTTTTGATAAACTTGCTTTTTATCTCTTTCAGCGCCACGTTAATTTCTTGAATAACCGGCAGAACAGAAAAACATGAAAAATTATAAATAAGTCTTTTTAAATAAGCCGCAATTACTTATCATATATTACATTTATATAAACATGTAATATATCGTTAGAAAGATAACATTTTTCCTATATAGAATAATAAGCAGATTTTCAAAATATTTTTTTTCATTAAAAGTTACTAAGAAATCTTTATCTGGAATACTCAACAACAGTAATTTTTTTTTTTTTTTTTAATTTTAAACCTTAAAACCTTAAATGCATAAATTTTAAAACCTTAAATGCATAAATTATAAGTTTTTTTGGTAAAATATTTTTAATACTTTTGTTTTTGACAATTATTTCATTAATAACATGCCATGTCTTTTTCGTGTTTTCATTTGTTTTTTTTAATAATTTTGCAAATTAATTTTTTTATAGTGTTTTTTGGTTTTTTCAAATACATTTTTATAATTTTTGTATGTTGTTTTATTTTTATACGTTTTTATTTTTAAGAACTTATCGTACAGTTTTTGCTTCATTTTTGAAGATTTTAATAGGCCTACAGACATCCAAGGAGTTAAAAGAAACTTGAAGGTCCTTTATAAATTACGTCACGCAGTTTTTTAACAGTTTTTGACCCCTCTCTACCCCCCCCCTCCTCCTCGTAACACATCCGTAACACAAAAAACATCTGGCTTTCGTCGTGAACGGACGCACATTTTTAAATTAGCGTATTTTTATAAATAAAAAAAAAAAAAAAAATTTCCCAACGGGCATTCGAACATTTAATCAACGTTTAGTTAATGTTCGTTCTAAATGTTTAGATTTAATTTAGTTTCGATTTAGATCGTAGGTTCGTTTTAAACGCTATTTAAACTCCATCTAAATCTTTCGTTTAAAACTTCGCGACGTTAAATTTTATTTTACAGCGTTTATTTAAAGAAGCTTAAATAAATAAAAAATACCGACAAAAGAATCAAATTCTTCTTTTATATAAGCTGCTTTAAATAAGCACCGTAAAGAAAAGTTAAACGCTGAACGCATTATGTAAATTCTCATAAACAAATCAAACATTAAGCAAATAATTTTTTATTTATATAAGTTTAAGATACAAGTAAAATCATTTTATTTATTATTATATGCATTATCGTAATCCTCATTATGATCGGCTCCATAATGATCATTGTCATCTTTATTTGAACCGATTAAGCCTCTTCGTTTTAAGAATTAGAAAAAAGAACATAACTTTTTCTATTTCCACCTACACGGAAGGGAGCCATTCTAAGATGGGAATCAATGTACGGTACCGTATTGCGGATACCGAAGTCATACAATCTCTTTTCTAAAAATAATAAAAATAACTCAATAAACATCTTCATTCTATTCATATAAATCATTCATTTAAGAACTTTATAAATCCATAGTTTTATAGATTATAGAAGATTGTACATTAGACACCAGCAATTTCTGGAAATTTATCACTTCAAGCTGGAGTAATTACCTTATAAAAAATCGGAATTTTGGCGAAAAAAGCAACTTTTAAAGTTGAGTAGAAGCTATCTTATTTTAAAAATAAGCATTAAAATTCCAACTTGAAAGATTTCTTATAAGTTGCCATTTTTATTGGATATATCGGGGTGTTTACTCTGCTGGATTAAACTGAAAGAACTAGAAAAGACTGTTTTGAAAAGCATATTAAAAAAAACTAAAAAATATATATTTTGTGCATCATTGATTCAATGATTATAAAAAATACATTTTGCAGTTATTCAATTGTGCTTTTTTAAAATAGTTTTATACATTTTTTCAAGTTTGTTTTGAGTTGACACCCTGTTTATTATGACATCCGGCCTTAAAAAAATGTAAACAAACCAAAAAGCAGAGTATCAAATTGTAGATTGAACCTTGCGAAAGCGTTTTATCTATAATATATATTAACTATATTATCAAACTTAATTTATTACAATAATACAAAAATGCCTCCTGTAAAAAGAAATAGATGGTGTAATTTATATGGTGGTAGCCCTTCTGATCTTCCTATTACAGATCTAGCAACTTATGGTGATGTAGCAAGATTTTTCTACAAATTAAAAGATTTAGATGGTATTAAAGACAAAAATGTTATTATTCAAAAAACGCTTTGTAGTTTAAAAGAAATATGGTTCAATTGCAATTCCAAATTAGTTTTGTTACCTGAAAAAAGTTTAATTGTTAAACTTTTAAAGTTTTATAATAATGTTGTTTCTTTGAATAGAAATAAAATTAAACCTTTGACCAAAATATTGTTGGAAAAAAATAATGAAAAAGTTTTTGATCTGCTAGCGTGTAACTGCATGCTTGAAGTTCTTCCTTGTGATGACAGGAATATTAAATGCTCAGGTTGTTCAAATGTGCATCTTTACTGTAGTTGTGTTAGTAGCAAAAAAGTAAGTTGTACAAATTTAAAGTAATTTATTTTAAATTAAAAATTAAAAAACTTATTTAGTTTTTATTTGATAAACTTTTTTATATATTATTATATTTTTTATTTTTTAGATAATAACACGTTTTACACAAATTAATTGAAAATAATATTTAAAGCCAGAAATAATTATTTAGGTTCTTTTGGAAGAGCGCTCCTATATAAAAGAAAAATTGGTACTAAAGGAAAGTTTCAAATAGGAGGTATTGATAACTCTGTTTTATTACTTACCTCAAGAAAAACAAAGCAAACAAAAGCTTATGATGAAGAAATTTATATTAAAGAGTTTGACACAATCATGGATTCAGATCAGGTAATAAACTGTGACCTGTAAACTTTGTTTGTATGATAAAAACTATATATATTCTTAAATTTCTTAATTCTTTTAAATATAATGCTCTAAAGTTAATGGAGCATCTTAAATGTTAATACAATTAAATGTAAAACTTTCATTGTTATTATTTTTAATTTCTGGAGGTTTTGTTGTACTTTTTTCTATAATTACAGGGTGAAACTTCAATTTCATCATTAAATCTATATCAAAGTACTACAACACTATCCACTATCTCAAATTTGCTTTAAGGGTAATTAATAAAGCTTTAAGGGAATATCAGATAAAGCAGCTGCCACTGTAGCTAATGCTCTACTTCAAGATATTGGTTATCTACATCTAAATGATGTAATTGATCAAAGTAAAATGAAGAAAGAGAAAGAACGAGTATGCTTTAATGCTAGTTTTGAGCAATCTAAAGTTTCAAATATAAAAGCAATTGGTTTAGATAGTAAACGTAATAAAAACTCATTGGTTTTATGAATAGAGAGATATTGATGGTGAAATAAAACTTTGTAAATCTACAAGCACTGTAGACCACTTGACATTCACAATTGAATCAGGTAAAGACCAATGTTATCTCTTTTGTCTTGGTGTTTGTTTTTTTTATTTTATTTTTTACTAATAAAAATGTTTTAATTTAAATAAAGCGAGTTGCAAGGTCAATATCTAAAGCACATAGATGAACCTAAAGAAAAAGGTAAAGGAAAAGATCTTGCTGAATTTACCTGTTATGTTCTCAAGGAAATTAAGAGTGATAAAAGTATTCAGGCAATAATTTTGGACAATACAAGTGTTAATACAGGTATATTTTTTCTTCAAAAATGCCTGTCTGAAAAATAAAAAAGTATAATATATAAATCTTTATTTAAGTTATATATTTTCATATTACTATATCATTTTAGGTAAAGATAATGGTTTAGTTGCTTGTCTTAAAAGAATATTGAAAAGAAGAATTCATTTAATTGGCTGTCTTCTACATGTTAACGAGTTTCCATTGCGTCATTTAATTTCTAAACTTGATAGTACTTCTTGGTATTAATACTATTAGCTCAAATAATTATTCGGGTAATCTAAATAATAATATTATTTTACATTCTTGGTGATAATAATATTATTTAGATTACCTGATTATTATTTAGCTACATTATTAAAACTTATAGAAATTCTATTTTTTACTTAAAAGTTTTATTGCTGCTTTACTTTATTCTGATCTATACTGCATTACTTTATTAATTTATACTTTATTCATAAATATAAATTATTATTTTGAGTAAAAGGTTATAACTATTAATATAATTATACTTGATCAAATAATAATAATATTATTATACTAGCTGTCCTGACCCGTAAAATACGGGTCTTTAGGATATTGATGCACACTTTATCTGCGTGCTTACAGTTCATAAGAACTATTATCCGGTTTATAACGCAAGAAAATCTCAATCAAATGAAAACATCTAAATGATAACTTTTAATGTCCTAAATACGAAGATTAAACTTATTGATTGCGTAAACACTAACTTTAACATAAATGGCATTTGCGAGACACTTCTTGCAACTTATGTCAAAATTTAATGGTGACTCTAAAATCCTAAAGGATAGGGGGGAGAAGCTTTTTTTGTCGCTTTTCATCTAAATTCTAAAAAAAATATCAAACAATGTAATAATCTAAAAATAATAATATGATAATGTTACTATCAATGTAATAAATCTAAATCCAAAAATCAAGGATTAAAGAGATGTAAGAAAAAATTCGTAAAAAATTCTTTTTTTAAGCCTTAAATTTTATCTTTTTTTAAAGCATTTAACTAAGCCTTGTGGTCATTAAAACCGCGTGGAAGAAAAACTCGATTGGCATTTTGTTTAAAAAACCTTGGTTGGCACTTCGTACCACAGCGATATTTATCATATACAAAAAAACTGAATTTCTGTTTTTGTATATTTGATCAACAAAGTTTTTTCTCAAAAAGACTTGGAATATGTCAAGAAAGTTGGAAACTAAGTGTTAAAAGACTTCACGAAAAAACAAAATTTTGAAATTTGTGAACAATTTTTTTTCTCTTCTTAGCGAAGTTGGTTTTGTGTCAAAATGCGAGGATCAAACTTTTGATTAATATCTTTACATATGTTGTCTATATACAATATCTATAAAACTTTATAAGTATTTGAATTTGTATTTAAAAAAATCTAAAAAAAAAATGAAAACAGTAGTCGCCAACGGTAGGACTCGAACCACAGTAGCTATGTTCCGTAGCCTAGCGCGCTAACCACTCGACTACGCTGACACACTAAACATAAGATTCAAAATTATATAAAAATTGTTTCTAACGGATATAAATATAAAAGATTAGAAATCGGTATTATGCTAATATTAAATAGTTTAACTTTTAATTATTTTACAAATATTTAAAAACAATAAATTTTATAAAATAATTTAGTGAACATATAAAATTAAAATCTTTAATTATGTTCAAAATAAAAATATACTTTTTAAGCCCCCTTACCATTTTTAAAAAAAGTTATGGTCGCCGCGTGGCAAGTTTATCAGCTTGGCACGCGGTTTTGTTGTTTAAAATGCAAATCAAAAGTTATATTTTAGTCAAAAAAATCAAAAAAATCAAAAGTTATAGTTAGATTTTATATTCTATATATAAACATGTTTTTTACTAATTTTCCTTGCTCAATTTAGTTGTAAATAAACTTGAAAAGTTTAACTAAAATAACATGAGTATCTCAATAATGACACATGCGCAAAAAAAATAAAAAAAAGGTCGCCGGTGGTAGGACTTGAACCACGGCTGACTTGGCAACAGGCCCAGCGCGCTAACCACACTACTGCGCCGTCCATAGTGGCTTGAAGATTTCAAATTATGTAAAAAATGTTTTTTAACGGATAAAGACACAAAAGATTAGAAATTAAGCAAAGGTTGACGAAATGCAGTTCTTAAGTGAAAATCAAACTGTTGAACTTGATATATGTTTAAGCATGTTTTAACATTACATAACATGAAGTTTATGTACGTACAATATGAGTTTCACGTTTGCTCGCGTTTTCTTATAAAGCAAAGGTAAGACTCTTTCTCGTCACTACCTCGGATGCAATGGTTGCCAAGAGTATCGTGTCAAACAGGCTCGAAAGCGCACTACTACTACTACTACTACTATTAAGTCCAGTATTATTATAAAGAGATTTTAAACGACCAGTTGGAAAATCTTTGACAAATCCAATTCATTTAAATTTAACTGTTTACTTAATACAAGTTGAGACAGACGTTGAATATCCTCCTCCGTGTGTCATTAAAGACCTCTCTGCTGACCAGAGAATGCTACTGGAATATAATATTGGAATTTCTAGAGGGTTTTCAGACAATAAGTGTCTGAGAAAAAAAATAGGTGCGTTGTTTTGTAAATCATTTGTTCCAAATATTTTTCTTTTTATATAATTTATTATTAATTTATACTATTAATTAATTTTTATATATAAAAGATTATACTTTTAGGCCCTATTTGTCATGCAAGATGGCTGACAACAGCAGTGCGGATCTTGATACTATACACAAGAACAATCAATCCCAGTAGAGAGCTCAAAATCTTTGTTGAATATATTCAAACAGTATATACTCCAATGTGGTTTAATATCAAAAAGTCTAAGAGTTTCAGAGAGGGTCCTAAACTCATTTTCCAATTTATTCAGCGGATTTTGAGGTTGGATACTGAAGTTCAAAATATTACATTGTCCGTAATTTATAGAAAATTTTTTTGTCTCCAACCTGAGAATTTTATTGCTGCTCTACTTTGTTCTGAAGAACCGGTTTATTACTGTTGTTAAGATTTTGGAAACAAGAAAAACACTAATTAAGGATCCTAAAAATAGAATAAAAGATTGTATTAGGGTTAATGCCATTCCAGTTATTGATTGTAGATGTAAAAATTGATCAAAATTAATAAATTTGTATGATATAGACTGTTTTGAGCCCCCTTGTGTGGAAGATATATCAAATAAGGAGCTTTTGAATATGATTCCAAAAGTGACTTCTGATTCTAGCGGAAAATTTATTAATTTGTTTATTATTATTATTAATTTGGTTCAGCAGTAAAAGCATAATATATTAAGTAGTAGTCAAAAGGGGCATAATATAATCTTGTTTTTTTGGGTGAGTGGGGGGAGGATTGATAACACCTGCCCCGCCATCTAGTCACCACCCGTAAAAATAGTTTTCTTTTTTTGCTTCTGTACATTAGAACAAATCCTGATAAAAAGTGCTGTAGTTTAAATCCGTTTTTCAGTTAATGGTTAATGATTATTGAAAACCGCTTATTGTTTAAGTTGATAATTCACAATTCTGGAAACAAAGCGTATAAAAGGAGATCTAATTGCTTTCTTCAAATTAACAACTGGGATTGATAAGATATTGTGGTATAAAGAGCCTAATAAAGCTTCTTCCCGGAGACTTCGAGGTCATCCAAAGAAATTTGAAAGAGAATTTGCAAAAACAAAACCGAGACATAATTTGTTTTACGAACAGAGTGATACCTCATTGGAATGCTTTACCTGAAAAAGTGGTTTCTGCAATGACAGTAAATTCTTTTAAAGCTAGACTAGATAAACATTTGTTAACGGCTGTTAAAGTATAAATTCTAAACTTTATACTCCGCGACAATCGTCGTTACAGCAGTTTGTATAACTATTACTATTACTATAATTATTTTTCTAACACCCTAAAAAACACTTTAAAAGTTTACGTTAAAATTATTTATACAACTTATCCTTATAAACAGTACATTCATAAAAGTTTTTGTGCGTTAACGTTTCAATTATTTATTGTGTGACCTCTTAAAGACTTTACTTTTTAATGATAGTATATGATAAATATAAGTCCAAATAAGATAGAATCGGAAATACCTGAAGCTTTTATATTTTGCCCATAATGTTTTTATGGTCTAAAGAAGGTACTCCAGCTTAAAGTAATTACAATTTAGAAAAAAAGTTAAAAATCACTGGTGTCTATTGTACATTAGTACAGTGTACATTGAGTATTTATAGTAAAAACTGATAGAGAACTGATCTTTAAAACTGTAAAATATATAATATTTATATAATAAAAACCTTATTAAAAAAACTTGTAGTTATCGCAGTTATGGGTTAATAAGTTGCAAAACTGCAGGACAACTGCAGGGCCCTTCCTAAACATAGTAATACAATATTATATAGAATTCTTTTACTTTATAACAATATCTGTCTTAAGGAGCAGTAGGCACACTCAGTATCCTGTTTGATTGAAACTTTCTATATAACTGAAAAGTTGTGGAGATACCGACAGTTTTACTACAATATAAATAAACATGTAAAAATAAAAATGTAATTCTTAAAATTTTTAAAGTTAAAAAATAAACAACAAACATAGTAATTAAAATTTATATATCAAATTAATATATGTTTTAACACGCAACTTAAGGTAATAATTGAGTATTACTTGATCAATCCATTAGTTTGTGCTTTGATATAGTAGTTATGTGGATAATGGTATTTTAGAACCCAATTTTCGGGCTTACAGAAAAGAAGAATTTGCAAGTACTAATGGGTTATCTACAATGTAAATAACTATATAGGTAAATTATGTATACAAAGTTATTTTAAATTTTATTTTAATTTACTAAAACATTGTCAACTTGATTTTAAAAAGTATATATATGTATATATATATATATATATATATATATATATATATATATATATATATATATATATATATATATATATATAAATATATATATATATATATATATATATATATATATATATATATATATATATATATATATATATATATATATATATATATATATATAATATATATATATATATATATATTATTTGCTTTAACAAGCGATTTATTGAATTTTTAGTGCAATTTTAAACTTGTAATATTAACTCCGAAGAAATTGAAAAAAAAAATTAATTTAGATTAGAATAATGCACAATTATAGATTAGTTATATGTTATTATTTTCAGTTTATATATTATTAGTTTCTATATAAACATTAACAAATTAAAATGAAACCCTTAAAAGAGTTGTGTAATCAGTACTTTTGCGCTTTTTTATTATCTGCTAATCATTTGCGGTAGTGAGAGCGCTCGCTTTGTAAGCGAGAGGTTCGGAGCTCGACTTCCACCATGTCCCTGAAAATACCGCGCTCAACTTAATTTCTCCGCGCAGCAGTCTTGCTTGTCAAGGTTCGTGTTTCGGAGTTTAAGAGTTGAGAGAGGGTTGTACTACGATTTACAACAACAACAAAAAAAAACAAAAAAAATGAGTAGCCTCCTCGACTGTAATGGTCCCCTCGGGCCTAAGGAGGTGAATAATTAAAAAAAAAAAGTTATCAATTCCTTATTCAGTTTCCGAAATTTAAAACTTTTGCGATCCTCATAACAATCTGTAAAAAGAATAACAAAACATCTTATCCAAAGCAATGACAAATAAAGTTAAAAAGTAAATTATTAAACATTTTGTGAATAAAAATTATAATATCACAAACTAAAATTCAATCAAATATCAAGCTTTTGGTTATTCCAACCAAACAGCCTGGCAATATGACATTTCGCTAAAATGTTAACACTAATTTGGTTGAAGGTTTATTAACACATAACATTAATTTGTAACTAAACTTGTTAAAAATGTTTTAAATAAGTTCAGTCGTCTAGTTTTTTAGATTTTTTTGGTAACTTTATTTTCCTAATTCTGAGGGATGATATACATATACATACTATATATTTCAACCCGTAAATTTTCAAGCTTGGTAGGTCTTTCATAACAAAATAAAATAAATAAAAAATAATGCAATAAATATTTCAATAGCTTTTAAATATAGAGCATAAGATAAAAACAGAGCAATTTAAATTCTCTTTTAACTAATTTAAACTTTAAAGACTCGAACCAATTATCAACATACCTTTCAAATATAACAGGAATTACCTTTAATCTTACATTATTTTTTAAGCGTTGAATTATTATAAATAACATTTCATAAGCCTGAGCAATTAGATTATGATTTAAAAGGTAAACATGTGACAGATGTTCAACTATTAGAATCATATCTAAGAGAACAGAGTTTGCAGTTTATCTTGTAAATACTAAAAAATAACTATTAGTTTTAAAAATCACTGCAATTTTATTTACAGAATGATCTTTACAGAAATAGCCATTAACTTAATTATTATTTTTGGAAAATTTAAACTTTAAAGGAGTAAAAACGTCACAAAAAATCTATTTACCACTTGCATGTGTAAATTAAAGCAGCAGGAAACAACCAAGTTGTTTCCTGCTGCTTTAATTGTTGTTGCAACTGAGTGGACTGTATATAAAATATTAAATGAAATTAAACACGCAAAACTTAGTTAACAATAAAAAATTTGCATGGATTCCAGAAAATAATATAATATAGCTATATATATATTATTGTTCAAACCATGTTAATTTTTCTAATCAAAAGAAAATAAATGATACAATATAATAATCTATCATATCAGACGTAAGTAAGATTATTTTCTCTAAGTGGTTATTATATAGGAGTATGAATAATACTTAAATTTTTAAAAATATTTTTTAGTCTACACTAAAAGCCTACATAAAACTAAAGATCCATTATATAAATATTTGAAACTAACAATTTTTGATTGGCACTAACTGCACTAAAAGTATGAATATTATAGCATTGCTATTCGATCAATATAACATCTATTATAATTTATGATAGATGTTATATTGATCTGTTTATGACATAAAAAAAATAGATGTTAGGTCTTAATATAAACAAAAATAATAATTTTGCTTAGTTATTTAAAAAGTAGTTACCACTTAAAATGCATAATTTTTCTCTAAAACTTTTAAAAAAAGTTTATGCATTTTAAGTGGTAATTATTTTTCATAACTTTTCTACTTTTAGTAAAAGTAGAAAAATTAGGAAGCTAAGAGTTAACTATAGACGTTCTATAGCGTTGTTAAAAGCCAAACAGAAAAAACAATTTAAGAAATAATTTAAAAAAATGCTGAAACTGCTACTTTTTTGAAACTGATATTTTAGTAGCAATAGATAAAAGAACTATCAAAATACATTGTTACTATGCTTAAAATTACTTTTAATCGCTTATACAACATTATCGAAGAACTTACAGGACTTTTTAGCTGCTTCATTAGCCACAATATAATACTAAAAACAAATTTCTTTTATCTTTTCTAAACCATTAATTACATAATTTAAGATTCATAAGAAACTCTAATTTTTAATTATAATGAAAGATTCAATATGTCTGACACATTTTGTGCGAAACTAATTTAATTCCTAACTAAGTTAGTTCCGTACGGAAATTTTTTGATTTAGCTTTTCAACGCAAATTAAATATTATGAACACGTTTAAAATAGGTTCCTAAACGTTTAGATCAACGTAAATGCCATCTAAACGTGAACTAAACCAATTTTAAACTAATAAATGCCCGTTGGGTTGCTGTTAAATAATTAGTAAATAGTAATTATCTGAAAATACTTAACAAATAATCTATTAAATGTCAAGTAAAAAAGAAACTGAAAACATAATGAAGGAGGAAAAGTTTAAAGCGCAAGAAAGTTCTTTTTTAAAAATAGTATCAGGAAATGCCTCGATACAAAACGACAAAATGGATAAAATTCTACATTCAATAGAAAATATAACAAATTGTATTTCAAAAGCGGAAAAAAAAGCAACAAAGCTTGCAGAAATGTATCGATCTACAAAAAAGTATTGAGTTTACTCAAGATACCTTAACTAATAAAAAACTCGTACACGTCGAAAAAGAACTTAAAAAGTTAATGAATACGGAAATTACTAAAGTTGTAAACCACACCGTACAGCTAAAAACAATGCAGAACGAAGCAAGAAAATTAAATGATGCACTACAAGAAAAAATTAGAAAACTAGAAGATAGGAATAGAAGAAACAATATTAGAATTGACGGTGTACGAGAAAAAAAAAAAAGAAACATGGGATTAAACTGAAAAAAAAGTTCAACAAATATTTAATGATCAGTTAAAAATAAGTAACATAATTATTGAACAAGCGCACCGTATCGAAAGACGCTTTAACGCAGAGAAAATAAAGAATAAAACCAGAACAATCATACTCAAATTGTTAAATTATAAAGACAAAGAAAAAATTTTGGAAAACGCAAAGATGCTGAAAGTTACAGGTATTTTTATTAATGAAGATTTTTCATTTGAAACTAACAAAGTAAGACGCGAATTAAGTGAAAAGATGAAGATTGAGCGTAACGCTGGAAAATATGCTATTATTGAGTACGATAAGTTAATAGTGAGAGAGTTTAATCTAAAAGCCAAATAAGTAATTTGATTTTTTTATTTAAGTTTCTAAATTTTGCATAAAACCATGTATAAAAATGGAGCAAAACTCTATATTTCAATTTTCTAATGAGATACCGTAACTTTGGATAACTTTGCACAACCGTGGGTAACATTGCACAATCCTAATCAAAGATATTTTACTCTCTAGCAGTTAAAAATTTGAATTACAACTTCATAACACTTTTGAAGTCAGCTTATTATAGTTTTAATTCAAAAATAGTGTAAAATAGTAATTTTAACGAAATTTCTTTCTACACAAGTAACTTTACTTAAACATAGAAAAAAACCACGCAAATAATTTCTTGCAACTTTTATCTGTTAATCACATCATAATAAAACCCCAAGGTGAGTAAATGGCATAAAATGCTTATCATAATATTAGTTTGAATTATTCTATGTTTTTATGCGATTGTCAATATAGATGAATAAAAAAGTACTAATTTTGTAAATAAATTACGATTTTGGACTAAATTGGGACAACTTTGCACAATGTGCAAAATAACAAAATATCTTTAATCATATAAAAACAATACTTTTTAAAAATTGAAGCAAATTATATATATAAGCATAGTTACTACATAAATTTTTTATTGTTTTTATTAATTTTAATTGCTAATTAGTATGCTTTTACTAATTTTTATTGCTAATTATGTTTTTTTCAGATGCCAAGTTGTTACAAAGCTAGAAAATATAAAGACTATACAAGTAATGACTTATCCAAATGTCTTGAAGAGGTTAAATGTAAAAAGCTGACACAAAAGCAAGCTGCTGCTAAATATGGCATCAGTCGAAGAACGATTTGTTACAAATTAAAAAGAAAACACAACTTTAAACCTGGTAAACCATTCTTCTTTTCCAAATTTGAGGAGGCTGCTTTTGTGAAGTGTACCATTCAATTAAGTAATTTTGGATTTCCAATCGGTAAAGAAGATTTACGTCATATTATGAATAGTTATCTAATTAGTTCAGGAAAAAAAGTAAAAGAGTCTGAAATCTTTCCTGGGCCTGATTTAGTTAATTCATTTTTACAAAGACATCCACAGCTTACAAGTAAGTTTGTGCCAAACTTAAAAAAATCTCGAGCAATAGTTAATGAAGGAATTTAAAAGGATTATATTCAGCAATTATCAATAACTGTACAAAATTTACCTCCAAGCAACATATATAATTACGATGAAACAAATTTGACTGATGATCCAGGGTCAAAAAAATGCTTGGTAAAAAGAGGTAATAAATAAACAGCAAATATAAGAAACACTTCAAAAACAAGAAT